CACTATTATTTTTATATATAATATTCTTTCTCTAGTTATAGAATTACTCTGCTGAGTTGTAAATATCTACTCAGTAAAGTATTAATTAAAAAGAGTATCAGATTCTCTCTCTATAGACTGACTGCTTTTATATAATAAAGATATTCACTAATCACTCAATAAACATCTATTATATATAAAAAGATCACACAATAGATAGATCTTAATAATATAATTAATTACTACATTATATCACCTTCATTATTAAATAATAAAGTAATTATTTCTTAATATTCTTTTAAATGTAAAAAACTAGCAGTTTTACTAATTACTTTATTTATAATAAATCAGTATATACTTTTTTTTTAGACTAATTTACACATTTTTAAATCACAGTATAATATCAGTAAATGAGATATTTTTTATAATTAATACTTTTATAATTTGACTTTAATAATATTTATTTAATATAATAATTAATTTTTCCTACTTACAATTTATTTACTGTGATTTCACTGTTTATTTATCATTATACTATGATTTACAGTTTAGTGACTGTGTTACTAGTAGAACAATTACTCTAATCTTTTTCAGTATGAATATTACATGAATCACGTGCACGTGAGATAATCTCTGTGATAATCTTATCTCAGCAAGCTCAGACACTTCTTCAGATATTTCATTACTGTTTTAACTAGACTGACCGTGTGACCATGTCTGGGACCAGGACCAGATTTTTTGATAGTCTTATTACCAATTCGACTGATCTCATTACACAGTTTTAATATTAGATAGTAGTCTCATACTGTCTCAGTGAGACTTACTGTCTACTCTTATCATATTTTTCAAATGAGATCATGATTTTCACTTCTTAATTTAAATTATTTTTATTACTTTAAATGACTTTAAATCTCATTTAAGTGTTATCAAAAAGTGTTACTTTTTAAAAAATTAAAAATAGTCTAAAAAAAACCTTAAAATGTCTAAAAATAGTAACTTTATGCCAAGAATGAGACTAAATAAGACTAAATGAGATCACTTTCTCATTTTTTTCAAGTCATGATTTCATTTTAAGATCTGATATATAGTCACTTTACATGTTTTTTTAATAGCCAGTCCCAGTGGGATTCACGCCAAGAAATGTATGGGATCAGACCAAATGGAATCAAACATGAAATTCATAGTCTCAGCAGCCAGTCTAGTTTTAACACTGAATTGATGATTATATCATAAGCTAATCTCAAATGAGTAATAAGCTAACTTAAATAGTAAAATCAGATTATGTAAGTGATAATATCTTACAAAGTATCTGAGAAGAAACAGTTTCTGATTATTAGTAACATAGAAAGAATTTACTCAGTACTCTGAGTATGAAAGAGAATTTCAACTTAACTTCATAGATTCATCATTTCTGTATTATCTTAAAATCTTAGAATAATAATGTTCTCATGATATATCTGATTTTTATATTCATATCTCAAGTTCTTAGAATAGAAGTATCATTTCAAAGTTGACTAGTGTGTTTTTAAACACAGGAATTTTAATTCAATTTCTCATACAAAAAAAAGCTCTTAGAAATTCTGAGATTAAAAAATATGATCATTTTCAAGAGTATACATTCATCTTAAATATAGATTTTTTTGAAATATTAAAGAAATATTTCTATTCTTCTTCTCTTTAGCTATAAGCTAAGGTGATTTTCAAATCTCAAAGATATATGAATATATAGTAATAGAAAGTCAAAGTTGAAGAATCTGAAAAATCCTTGTAAATCTCAGGAATCTCCATTGAAGATGGAACTGTTTCTTCTCAGACCCTCTGGCGAGGATTGCTCTGAGCACATGACTTGTATCAAAAGTAGGTTAGTGTCATGCCGGATTAGTTAATAATGCTGCAACCTGTTCAAACCGAGCCAGAGGTCTGAGCCCGCTGAGATAATGGCAACCACCCGAGTTAAAGGCCGCTCGCTACACATGACATCTCGAGCTTGGCTGACATTGGTGTCCCGGCACGGGGTTGGAAACTTCCAACATATCTGGTCCACTTTTTTCTGCTGATCCTGCCTTTTATTCGGTATTATACTATGGGAAACATACCTGGACGACCTTGCCGCTTCCTTTTCTGTTCCTCCGACAGTTCTGATTCTTCTTTAAGGAAAGAAAGCAGGAAACTCTTCCTCGTTGTATTGCTGACCGGATACCTATGTACCTAGACGTATCAGGGTAGAGTCAACGAAAACCCTACTAGGGATCTAGTACTTCTACAGCCACACCTGGCCCCTGTTTGCCATGGACGAGCGAATTCAGTCCATCCGACCTCTTCCCTCCGGGGTGGTCGCCAAGTTGAAGTCCTCAATCGCCATATCAAATCTCAATGGAGTGGTCTTGGAACTTCTGAAGAATTCGTTGGATGCTAGAGCCCAAACCGTATCGATCAACGTAAACTTTCAAAGAGGTGGCTGCGCTGTGGAAGATGACGGGCAAGGAATATTGCCTGCTGAGTTCATGGAGGGGGGCAATCTTGCCAAACTTCATCGTAAGTGGTTCTTCACAATGAGACCTTCTATATACATCTTGCGCTAACGAAAACGTGCAGATACGTCTGGATTCAACAGTCCACATCAGGTGTATGGCCGGAAAGGCGCATTTCTTGCGTCTCTTGTGTCACTTGCTTTGGTTACAATAACCTCTCACCACGAATCTGCATCAACGACAAATACAGTGGTATATCACCATGCAAAATCGATCTCCAGGCTAACACCCGCCCCATTGCAACATGAGCTCGATTCGCGCGACCATGGGACTAGAGTTACGGTTACGGACCTTTTCGGGAATTTTCCTGTCCGCGTTAAGCATCGAGCGTTATCTCTGAGAACCAGTCAGGATCTAGATAGAGAATGGGGCGACTTGAAACGCATGCTTACAGCCATACTTCTTGCTTTCCAGAAACCCGTAAAACTTGTGGTATCAGATGCAACGAAGACAAGGCAACTTGTTTTTCGAGCAAGTAGGTCGCAGTATGATAAATCTTCTGGGCCGCTCGACTTGGGTCGAATTCGTCGGATTTTGATGCATGCTGGCTATGTCATGCCAGGGGATTTTCAATCTTGGGTTACTGCCTCTGCTCTGATGTCGGGGATTGAGATTCAGTCTGCAATATCCCTCCAACCTGCTCCAACAAAGGAAGTCCAGTTCATCTCCTTTGGAATAAATCCGATATTCTCTCAGTCTAATATGAACGTCTTGTATAAGGAGGTCAATAGATTATTCTCTCATTCGAGATTTGGAGTTATTGATGATCCACCAGTTATTACGGACGGACTAGGAGGACTTAATCTGCAGGGTGACGACAAAACAAATGATCCGAAAGCGTCCAGCGGAAGAGAAAAAAGTATTAACAGATGGCCAATGTTTTATATTCGAATAGGGCTACAAGAATGTGATGATGCTATCGATAAAACGGACGACCTTGCCGAACGTAACAACAGTCTCCAATCAGTTTTAGATGTTCTGGTAGCCATGATACGACAGTTTCTGGAAGAGTACCATTTTCGACCTCGGTCAGGAACAGGTACCAAAAGGAGTCGCCAGCCTCAATCTCCGACAAGCCCAGTAGAGCGTCAAGTTGTAAAGCGCCCCAAGAGCGCTGCCCCAGCGTTCCTTTCACCCCTTGCGTCTACTGGAATTCACAAAGGTAGTGGGAACACCGAAGAACTATTTAACACCTGTATCAGACTTCCTCGTGCTGCCCACGCTCTAAACCCTGCGCACCCTAAGAACAAAGCTTTTGGAAGCTGGTCACGGATTAAAAGCAGTCGCGATAGCGGATTTGACGAGATATGGTCTGGCTTGCCCCGCGGAAAAAGCCCTTTTATCTCGAATGCTTCCACGAAAAATCAAGTAGAGCATGATAGAAGTTGCTCATACTCGTCTTCTCCAACTCCTGATCAATCTGGTGAACTCTCAGATAGCCACGATGTCCGTCATTTCGCGAAGCCTAGCAGCCCAGATGACACTGGGGATCTAGGCCTACAGGGCGTCGAAAAGGAACACAATGATGGATCCCCAGACGAGGCTATACGTTGGGTGGATCCTATCACGAGAACAGCAATATCAATTAACAGCAGAACGGGCCAGACTATTCTGAACCAAGGCCGGCCGTTTACCTCGTCTCGAGATGGGATTCAAAAGCCAGGGTCCTTTGATCGCCATAGTTGTTCAGGAAACTTGGTGTCACATCCTAATTTGTGGATTGATACATTCCTTAAAGAATGGAATAATCCAATATTCCAGCAATCGGAGCAACCAGTCACAACGGCGTTTCAGGTTCTAGGTCTGCATTCTGGCAGCTCAAGGAAACATTTCCTGTCAGGAACTGGAGATTTTGGGTTTATGCCATCTTCATCTAGGTTCACTAGCCGGTTGACCAAACAAGGGCTTCAGAATGCGCAATTGATCGCTCAAGTGGACAATAAATTTTTGCTTTTGAAACTGCCAGCTTCCAGTGAGGAAACCAACGCCGACCGCCAGCAAAACCTTGTTCTCGTGGACCAACATGCTGCCGATGAAAGATGTCGAATTGAGCAACTTTTTGTAGAGCTTTGCGGTACTGCAGCTACGACATCAGATCCATCGTCATTCTGTCAAAATCGAGGAAATACATCGTCCTTACCGAAGCCAATTTCATTCCAGGTATCGCCTCAGGAAGGTGAATTGCTAAAATCGCATTCTGACTACTTTGAATTTTGGGGCTGCTATTATACATTGTCACCTAGTGAAAGAGATTATCACACGGTTACGATCGACAAGGTTCCGACGCTTATCGCGGAGCGCTGCAGAGTAGAGCCTAAGCTTGCCATAGATCTTCTTCGGAATGAAATTTGGGAACGAAAAGATCATGGAAGAAAAGATCGGAAGCTTCCCCCCCAAACGCTATGCTCTGGCATCCCAGAAGCCGGTAATTCTGAAAAATCACCAAACGACGAAGTACAACCTACCATTGCCCGCCACTCTTGGTTGGAGCTTATTAGTGACTGCCCCAAGACTATTATTGACCTACTCATCTCGCGCGCGTGTAGAAGCTCGATCATGTTCAACGACTGCCTGAGTCGGGTCGAATGCGAAAATCTAATCTCTAGACTTGCGGTGTGCGCCTTTCCTTTTCAGTGCGCTCATGGGCGCCGTCAATGATTCCAATTGTGAACTTGGGTTCTATTTCCTCATCTGATGAAAGGTGTACCAATGAAGCCCTCTCAGCTTTTGACTTTATATCTCGTTTTGGAAATAATTCTGGTAACGCCCCGGCAATTAACTTGGATTTGCCCTTCATGGAAGCCTTCAAACGGTGGAACCCTGATGCTACATAGTGTATAGATCATTCTATTTTGAACTTCGCTGTTTGCGTTTTCTTGGGCCCTTGTCATTTCAAATATCTTGGTGTAATTATGGTATATGATTTGTATTTTTATTTTTGGAGATACAAGTTTATCTTCTTGGAAGCCCAAGTTGACAGCATGTACTGGGACATCCTGGCCACTGTTATGGCACGAACCGCCAAAGGATACAGAGCTGGGCGAGGGATGATGGTACCCTGTGCATTCAGATTTGAGTATATTTACCGAAACCCCATCACGCTCATCTTTTCTCGAAACCGTTATCTGAAATGGCGCACACTCATTAACTATCACTTTGTATTGTAAAATCTACGTCAGCCATATCTGTTAGCATTCATTGAGTAGTGCAACCATGACGAGAAATTCGATCATGAATGCCCGACCCCTATACTGAAACATCATGAAGTGCTAGATTGTAGCAGAGAAAATCAAAGCTGTACCGCGTAAAGTTGATTGAAAAGGTTGCTGGCTTGTGGGAAGTTATATGGTGGAAGGATTAATATGCCAGGACATGTGACCTGACACCCCCACTCATCAGAGTAACTATACGGAGGGCGCTATCAAAAGAATTGCGCCTCAGATTCAATTTTTACAGCTAAGAAGCACCACCATGTTTTAATGAGTAATTACATTTAGCTTCAAATCACCCTGCATTCTATTTATATGAGATTGCCATGTATTATGAATTGATTTCTCTTTGTTCTCAAATATCTCATCTCTAATATCGAGACTGGCCGCCGGAACTATGAATTTCATGTTTGGTCTCATTGAATCTGATTTCATACATTTCTTGATGTGAATCCCACTGGGACTGATTATTAAAAAAACATGCGAAGTGACTATTCATCAGATCTCAAAATGAGATCATGACTTAAAAAATTAAGAAAGTGATTTCATTTGATCTGATTTAATCTCATTCTTAATAAAAAGTTACTATTTTTAGATGTTTTAAGGCTTATTTTAGACTATTTTTAATTTTTTAAAAAGTGATACTTTTTGATAACACTTAAATAAGATTTAAAGTTATTTAAAGTAATAAAAAGAATTTAAATTGAGAAGTAGAAATCATAATCTTATTTCAAAAATATAATAAGAGTAGATAGTAAGTCTCACTAATAGACTGACTGTGTGACTGTGTCTGAGATTAGAATCAGAATATTTAATGATTTTATTATTAATTCAACTGATTTCATTACACAGTTTTAACATTAGATAGTAGTCTTATACTGTCTCAGTGAGACTTACTGTCTACTCTTATTATATTTTTCAAATGAGATCATGATTTTCACTTCTTAATTTAAATTATTTTTATTGCTTTAAATGACTTTAAATCTCATTTGAGTGTTATAAAAAGTATTACTTTTTAAAAAATTAAAAATAGTCTAAAAAAAACCTTAAAATGTCTTAAGAATATATAAATCACATGTTCATCTCATACATTAGATTACTACTATATCAAGTATAAAGTGATAGAAGTTCTAGATAGTTATAACTACTATCTTAACATATTATTAGAGATTCATGATGTATTTCATACAAGCTTGCTCTACTATGCTATCACTGATTCATTCTCTTCTCAACTGACTTCTGACTGACAGTCACCAGACATTATAGAAGAAGATAATGAGCTTGAGTGAGAGATTGAGAATATTCTCAATGAGAGATTCCGCAGCTGCAGCCAGCAATATCTTATAAAATAAGTTAGCTATGATTAACTGATCTGAACTCTGAGTTCTGTATTATTCAAAACAGTGATCCTTGACTGATGAAAACTGCTTCTGAAAGAGAAGGACTAATGTGATAAGCTGTGCCTGATCAATTATATAGACTATTCTGTTACACTTCATAGATTCTTCTGTTTCACTATTGAATATATACACTCTGATTCTCAGTCATTCTCAATCACTGATTCTTGACTGTTACAAATGTGTATAGATTCTTCCACTCTGAAGCTTCATTACATACATTACTACATACATGTATAGATATTCACTCTGATCACTGATTTCTATACTTTCTCTTTCTTTTTCTTCTTTAACATTTTTCTCTTTGTTATATAAGATCTATCAATATTATACTGATCTATTCAGTGTAGGCCTCTTATAATATCAGAGAATATTAACATGAAGATATCTATGTATATAAAGTTAATAATCTTAATTATAATTATATATTAGAACTTATCTAACTATCTGAACAAGGCATCTGACTGAACACTCAGAACAGAAGCTTAATATTCTCTAATAATAATAGAATTCACAAAGATGATATTTATAAAATCATGAATCTGACACAGATCTCTGTCAATGCATATGAAATACTCTGAAAAAGAAGTCACTGATAGAATCATTAATAAGATCACTGATAGTAAGATTATATAACAATCTACTCTACTAGTCTGATCAATATTAAAAAGACTCTAGAAAAGTTATTCAGTATTATAATAATAGATTCTTATATGAAACTCTCTTAATAATATCATGAATATCTAGATATCTTCTGATAGGATAATATTCTAAATATACTTCTCTTATAAGACTCAGAAGTGAATCACAGTATCAAGTTGAAAAAGAAAAATGATAAAGACTCTGAATTATTATAAAGCCTTCTTTATAACATGTTCTGAGATGAACTTCTTCTTCTTCAAAAGACACTCAATGATCTGTTAAATAAAGAATTTATATATATTAGTAACTCTTTCACTGCAGTCTTTATTCTCTTTGTAAAGAAATCAGATAAAGAACTCTGATTCTGCATGAACTATCAAGAACTAAACAGATTAACAAAGAAGCACTATTATTC